TGATCGCTTTCTAAAGAAGTATTGAGATATTTGCCTTCAATCTCCCTAATTCTATCTTCCATTGATTCAGTTCTGCTCATTTACCTATTCAATGTCTTATCTATTTCTGAAAATTTATTATTAATCTTTTGGATTTCTATGTGTAGATTTTATATCATTTTTAATTTTTCATTTATTTTGTCATTTTGTTCTTGTATTGTCTTTCAAAATTGTTCTAGGATTTTCTGTTTTCCTGAATTCTGTCGTTGAAGATACCTAAATATAATTCTTTTGAATTCCTTATCAGAGAGTTCCAATGCTGCATCTTCCTCAGGGATGTGTTTTTGGGTCTGTTTCCTGGTCCCTTGTTCTTCCTGCTTTATCTTGCTTCTTTGTGTGCACTGTGATGCTCTGCTGTCTCTGGGGCATTATGACGTTTTTGTGTTTATATTTAATTGGTGATTATATGTTGAAGTGACTTGCCCACGATTTTTGTTTTCTTTGGATTTTATCTAAGTAAGCAGGGTATTGTGCTCCTCTATTTGCTACTTGGTAGCACTTATACACTCACCGCCTTCTCCTTCCCATTGTTAGCCTCCCATATGTCCCTGCTGTCCATGGCAAACTGAGCTTATTCTTAGGTCCCTGGAGTCTGAATGAGAATGCTGTCACTTTAAAATCCAAAATGGTCACTGCTTATAAACATCCAAAATGGCTGCACCCTTGGCCACTTTAAATATCCAGAATGGCCACTGCTTGTAAACTTTCAAAATGACTGTGCCCTCAGTCACTTTAAGTATCCAGAATGGCTGCTGCTTGTAAACAATCAAAATGGCTGCACACTCCGGTCAGTGGAAAGTCCACAGCTCAGGTTGTCTCCTTCCTTGGTGTTTCCCTTCCTAGTCAAAGGCCACTAGCACCGTTGTCCCTGCAGCCCTTGGCGACCAGGGCTGATCTTTAGGTCATTTCTCAGGTCCCAACACCACTTGGAAATAATCAGGCTGTTGGTCCTGTTAGAGTAGCTGACAGTCCCCTGCTCCGACTATCTCCATACTCACTATTTTCGTTGAGGTTTTTCCACTAGTTGGTGCCTTATCCACTTCTGTATCCTTCCTTGCAAAGCTCAGGGCTCCAGGATTATCTTCCCTATCTCTGTCAATTGGTTTGTCTTTTCTTTGTTGAGGAGGGTCTGTGTTGCTTGTCTGCCTGGTCCTCCACCTTACTGGCAAGCTGCCTTATGTTTCTCCTGCAGAGTGCCACATGGTTTTCCTGGTGGGTTCAAACCACCGGTTTTTCGATTAGCAGCCAAGCACTTAACTACTGTGCCACTGGGGTTCGTCAAATGACATAATAGGACTTATAATTTATTAATACCTCATCCCTTCTGTTTGCTGGTGTGGGTCAGCAGGCATGATATAGATTCCGGGGGCCCTTCATTGACAGACGCCACAGGTGCTGTTGGTCCTCCTCTGGATGGTGGCAGCAGGTGGCTGCATGAAAGGAAGTTCTTCAGATGACTGTGTGCTTAGGGACAGCATGCTTTAATCAGGCAGATGGAAGGGAGAAAGTAGTTGTGAGCTGTTGCACTCCTGCACCTTTCTGCTACACCAGACATTATATAGTTAGGAAAATAAGATCTTCTTATTTTGCATTGGCTGTTTTTGTTTTGAAGATGCTCTGGTAGTGCAGTGCCTAAGACATTTGACTGCTAACCAGAAGGCTGGCAGTTCAAACCCGCCAGTTACTCCGTGGAAGGAAGACAGGGCAATCTACTTCTATAAAGATTTACTGCCTCAGAAACCCAGTGGGGATTACTGTGAGAATTGACTTGATGGCAGTGAGTTGGGTTTTTTTTGCTCTTTATTTCTGAGTCCCTGGATGATATATAGCTGCTAACCAAAGGGCTGACAGTTCAGATCCACCGAGACTTGTGAAGAATCAGCCATTGAAAACCCCATGAAGTACAGTTCTACTCTGACACACAGAGGGTTGCCGTGAGTTGGAATGAACTGGACAGCATCTGGGAAAAAAATGGTTTTTATTGTGTCATCATGGGTGCATTGATGGAGCACTAAGGAACCTGTGGTTTGTTGGGATGGGGCACTAGAGGGGGATCCCAGGTCATCTCTGTAACACTGTCCCTCTAAAGGGTCAAGTCTGGTGAGGAAGCAGGAGGGCAGTGGTGGTGGTGGAATGGGGGACACTGGCC